CGTGGCACGCTGCGAAGCTCCTGGGGAGCGTGATCCCGATGCCGAGTCCGGGTCGGCCCCGTCTCTGGAGGGGCCCGCGGCTCCATCGGCGGCTATGGCGAAGAGCTCCGGTAGATGGAATCAGTGAGTTGACAATCCCTTTCATCCCCACATTCAACGTTGGCACATGCGGGGGGACCGCGGTCGAAGTGCAATTCATTCACGGAACCCAACGCCAATTTTAATCATTGGGGGGCGGCATTGACAGATGAATATGGCATGCGTGTTCGCTAATGTCCTCAGAGGTCTGTCCGTTGAGTGCCGTCGAGTCGACTGGGACATCTTTCACCGCCTCGTCCATCGGATGGTCGAGATTGGCGCTTGCGCTTGCTGTGAGCACTGCGCGAATCTTGTCGTGGAGTGGTGTCGGGTGTTGGCGCTCAAGGCCCCTTGTAAATGCCTTCCCAGAGGTCCTGAAGTCCCTCAGCGCCTAGAAACCGCACCAAGACATTTGAGCGCGGTGAGCCGCCCAGGTAGTGGTTGATGGTCCTGGGTCCTTGCTGTGTCTAGCTGGGGGTGGGGGGGGCTCAATGCTTGTTCCTCTGCAGAGCGTCTTCGGGCAACTTAGATGTGTTTCCTAAGTGCGTCTGTCCTCATAATTTGTTATTCTCCTATTCCTCCTCCATATCGTCATCCTCTATTCTTCCTCCTTCCCTTCTTGAGCTCGGTCACAGCTTCGATGGGCGTGCCATCCATCCAGCCATCCGTCCCCGTTGCCCCCTTCGCGCTGCGGGCGGCGCCGCAGGCCTCCCATGGCGCCGAAGAAGGCGCCGCCCCCGCCAGAGCCGGCGCCAGCGGCCGAGGTGGAGGGGGAGGCGGAGGCGGCCCCAGAGGAGCCCAGCTCCGCTGCGGCGCTGCCCCGCGGGGGACGAAGGGGCACATGGATGAGGGATCGGAGGAAGGAGAAGCGACACCACCACCACCAGCTGGCCATCCCCATCGACACCACCAGGAGGACTGACCCCGGCTGTTCGCGCTGGTGCTGGCGGTGCCGCTTGTCCTGGTCTCCCTGGAGGGAATGGGAGGGGGGGAGCAGAGGAGTAGGCGCGGGCGCGGCCCGGGCACGCAGATCGACTGCCGGAGGGCCGCGGCCGCGATGGTGGCGATTCTGGCGGCGGCCAGAGGCGTCGCCGAGATACGGACTGTTTCTTTGTGCCCGCCTGGTGCCTGACGGGCTCGGCGCCATGGTGGCAGCATGGCGGGACGCGGCAGAGGAGTAAGAGGAGCAGGAGGAGGAGGAGGATGAGAAGGTGCAGGCGACCGAGGTGGGCGGGGGGAGGGCAGGGTCAAATCAGACGCGTTTTGAATTTGTTTGATTTGCCTTCGTGATCTTGGAGGACCAGGTCCCCTACGAATAGTTGCAGCTGGCGGCTGCAGCCCCAGTCTACTTTTTGTGGTTTACGCCAGGGGCCAAGAGCCAATCCCGCAAAATGGTAATTGGGGCTCGCCGTCACGGGCAGTCGGTTTTGAGGGGCAGGTAGGGCGTCAACGAGTAGCATCAGAACAGCTTCCGCCCGAGACCCATGTACCCCTATCATCTTTTGAGTCTCCCCCTCTGGATTGGAACCGTTGTTTATCCATTCGCCGCGTCTCGTCGTCACCGCGAGGAGAGAGTGGTTTGGCAGGAGCGGCGAGGACCATGAAGTGCCAGCCCAAGGGGAATTGGGTCCCGTCTCGCCTGCGCTAGGGCTAGGGCTACAACCGTGCCTGAGTCACTGCAGTTTTACTGTCGTTTGTGTTCTTCCGGTTGCGCATGATCCGGGTAGCACATCTAGTCGTTTGGGGGGAGAGCGAGATGTTTTGACGAGGAGTGGTGGTTCGGTCCAGGTCTCACCGTCTCAGCGCGCACAAGCAAATCCAACGCCAATGCGCCGATCATCCACAGACGACACCCATTTGCTTTGCTGATGCATGTGTGGATTGTGTTTTGCTCCATGTTGGCAAGAACGAAATATTCGGATCGACCTCTGCCTTGGCGGAGTCACGATGAAGGGATTGCGTGGTAGGAAAAGGCGAAAATCGGAGAAGGGGGGGATGGGGCGAGGGCGTGGATGGGGAGAGGAGGACGAGAAGGCAGAGGAAGGCCGGGCCCGGTTTCGTCGATCCCCTCTTCTTCCTGACATCCCATTGAGGAGCCGCCGCCGAAGGAGCCGCCGCAAGACCCGCGCCGCGGCTCGATCGGCCACCTGCTCAAAGACGCCTTCCAGGATTGCCCCTGGCCACCAGGGGGAGGATACCTCTCCCCTGTTCTCCCTACTATATTTCCGTCTTTTCCGACTTGATCCCCCCTCCTTTCTCCCCTTCTCCCCCCCATTTGTTCGTAGACCAAAGGCGTCGTGAATGCGTCTTGGGAGGTTTCTTTGGGACCTGTTGGAGGTATCCTGGAATGTTGCGTATTGTTTGTCGGTTTGTTCGCTGGCGGATTGTTGGGTTTTCGTGGTGGCCTCGAGGGCCCTTGTTTGGCCTGATTGGGGGGCTTTGATGGGCAGTTCTCGACATTTTTGAGAAAGAGCGAATTGGAACGATTACGTCCAGTAATTCAATGTTTACCAGCGTGGGCCCAACACAGGAAGTTGTTTCTGCTCGGTTGTGCGTTAGTTGCGCGGTGCAAGACACGTGGTGACAGTTACGTGGTGCAACATATGTGGTACTATCGATGCTTTGATAGCTATAGTTTACAGTCTATGTGTTGTAAGCTCTATCGCGCCGATGGAAGCTATGCGGTGCAAACTATGTGACGTACGGTATGCGGTGCAACATATGTGGTGTAAGCTAGGTGGTGCAAGCTCCGCGGTGCTGTATAGTTCGTGTACGCAACGTTGTGTACTTCTATGTGGTGTACGCTATGTTGTGTAGGCTATGGAATGAAAGCTAAGCTGCCGCCCGCTGCACGAGGCGCCCACGAGACGACCACGGGCAGGTACGAGGCGAGTTCTCGGCGGACCCACCCATCGCACGAGGCGCGCACGAGGCGCCCACGGGCATGCACGAGGCGAGGCCTCGGCTGACCCACCCAGCGCACGAGGCGCCCACGACGCGCACAGAAGGCCCACGAGGCGCCAACAGGCGAGCACCAGGCGAAACCTCGGCTGACCAACCGCCACCGCAGGAGGTGCCCACGAGGCGCCCACGGGCAGGCACCAGGTGAAACCTTGGCTGACCCACCCAGCGCACGAGGCGCCCACGGGCGTGCACTATGCGAGACCTCGGCTGACCCACCCATCGCACGAGGCGCCCACAAGGCGCCCATGAGCAAGCACGTGGCGAAAGTTCGGCTGACCCCCCCAATTCTTTCGGTAACTGAAGGAAGACCCGCTAAGTGCTCGCACTTGTGGTGGGAATCTTTGCTTTCCAGTGAATTCGGTTTCTAGGCCCAGCCCCCAGGGCAGCCTCCAAGACTGCCGAGCAGGCACCCGATAGGCCTCCAGGAAGGGCGCTGTGACTATTTTCAGCGAAGCTGCTTTCGGAAAGACACGCGACGCAGCCGAAGAGTCCGAAGCCGTAATCTGTACGTTCCCACCGCTTAGGGAACCGATGTCCAGGAACTGCATGTGTATGAATCCCCGCCTCGTGAAGAACGCTCCGACGCGCATAGGAATTTCCGGACTTCGCCGTCCTGTTTCTTTGAAAGGCGCTTACCACATGTAATACAGAATTCGTCGGGAGGGCACAAACAATACGTTCGCAGGCGGAGCAGGCAGATTTCACCGACTGACCTCGCATCGCAGCGTCCAGACGCCCACGGCGGTGAGAGGCACGAACGACGGCGAACTGATCGGCCACCCCCATCAGATCGTCGAAGATATGGAGGAACAGCGCGGGAAGTTGTGGTGGGCAACCCAGAAGGCGCCCAGGGCATGGGTGCTTGACAGGAGCTCACTCGACAGGCCGCCTCTTGCCTTGATCAGGCGAGCATCGGGTTCGTTCTGTACCCGCGCGTCCAGAAGTCTCGATGGCCTGCACCCATCGCGTCTGCAGCACTTGGGCGACCAGACCTGCCAGGTGGACAACGCGTGGACGAAGAAGTCTTACAGACATGTTATTCCCAGCTTGTGCGCGGAAGGCCACGAGATGCAACGCCTTCCGTATTTTTCGTGGTCAGGGGGTTGTTGCAGCCAGGGTTGTTGGCCCATTGTTTCCCGTAACATGTCCAGACCTTGGGTGAGATTTTGTAGCGGAGGTGGTCCAATTTGCTTGTGAATCCAGCGTCAGGGTTGCGTGGGAGTTCCTCTCGAAGGCCTGGGCGCTCTGCGCCTCAAGCGGTGGCGAGGCTGGGGCAGCTAAAGGGTGCAAAGATCAAGACAGTGGCCCAGTCTGCTCAAGGTATTTTGCCGAAGTGGGTGGGATGCTCGCTCGAAGGCACGGGCGAGAAGGGGTCTAGGCATCGCAGATGGGTGGCAGCGGTGTCTGGATGGGAACAAGTACATTGCAAACCTCCAGATTTTGCCGATTGACCGCCCGTCGAGGCGCCCAGGTCATGGTTGTGAGAAGGCACCAGCGTAATTCGGTCAGACGTTTAAACATTCCCAGGATTGCACATGTTCGGAAGTTTGAACGCGTCGGAGTTTGAAGGGCATTGCCTTCCGGAAATCTTGAGAACCGCTAAGTGTGTCAGTTTGCCGATTGAAAGCTCCGAAGTAGGACCCGCAGTAGGACTTCCTTTCACGTGCTCCAAACGACTAGCAGTTGAGATTATTTTGTGCTTTGCGTCAACGTGGTACAGTTTTTTCTCAAACATGACAGACTTCAAACTTTCAGGGCTTCAGATGTTGGGTTTGAGACTCCCAAGCGCGAACAAACCACCACCCTTACGTTTGACGGTTTCAGTTTCGCAATACAGCTTAAAGGTATGACAGTCGAATGTTCTCAAAGCTTGTGCGCGTGAGGATGTGGAAGGGATGATACTGGGATTTTAGGATGAGTGCGACGCGGATCTGATAGCGGATTGCAGCTCGCACGTTCCCATTTCAGATGTTTCTTGTTCTTCGTCCTCCCATGTACACCCTCCTGCTTTCTCCTCCCGTTTCCTTCGGCTCCTCAGGACCTGTACCAGCCGCCAGCAGCTGCTGGGGAGGCCCCTCTGTGACGCCTGGGAGGGTCCTCCTCCGCTTCTCTCCCTCCTTGTCCTCGTGACTCTCGCGTCCTCCTCCTTTTCCCCGTTCTCGTTCCTCTTTCCGATCTATGCTCCCTATGACTACCCCTCCTTTGTCCCTGCCGCACCCCCAGACTTGTCGGTTGGGCAGGCTGGGCGTTTCGATTGAGAGGTCCTCGCCGTCTATGATTTTGAAATTTGTCCTTTTCAACAGTTTCACGGAAGGAGGGCGGGTAGTTTTCTGTATGCGATTCTCGCTTGATTGTCGAGCACATTTGTCATCGACGTTTGCAACAATTCTTCACGCTTCGCAGTCCGAACCCTGACGCCCACACGGGCAACCCTTGTGGCCAGCAGACCTCACAAGGAGAGGCAGGGCCCGCCTGGCCAAGGGAGACGGAGGTTCGGCTTCAGGTCCCCACCAAGAGAAGCAGGGCCCGTTAGACCAGTAGCGGGCCGCGCCACGGCGTCAGGGTTGCAGCCCTCCCAGTGCCTCCCTGCAGCGTGGCGCGTGAACCGGGCCGGTCGCGGCAGCTGTCAGCCACAGCGCAGGCTTGACAGCGGGCCCCGCCGCCCACATCCCCCGACCGATCGGCGTGCGGCGGGTGGATTGCCTCCACCGTCGGACGTGGGGGACCCGCCCCCTGTCCGCCCTGTTTGGTCACCCTTGGCGCGTCTCTCCCCCGCGCACCCAGGTGCCCTCCCGTGCCGGGGCGGCCCCCCCGCGGCTGGGTTCCCGGTTCCCCTGCCGGAGTCGGTGGTGCCTTCTCCCACCTGCCCCGGCCTCTTCATCCCGCGCAAATCGCGGTTTCGTCTCCACCTCGCTGCGTCAGCAATTTCGGCTGCAGTGTCGGTGCGCTCCCTCCCGCCGTCTGTTCGCGTCTGTAACCATCCCTGGGGTGTCGACCGCGGACCGCGCCCCCCTCTTACAGGGGCTCGGGTGTGCGACCTTGCCGGCGCCACCACTCGCACCTGCCTGGCCTTGGCAGGCATATTGGATCACGCTGAGGTGCCCAACCCTGGTCACTCCCAGTGCTTTCTTGCGCCATGTTGGCCGCGTCGCAGTTTTGCTGCCCAATTCTCCCACACCCACTTCGTTCGTGGCGGTCGGTTCACCTGGTTCCGGCCGCCCTGGTACCTTTTTCAGCGCGGAGGGTACCTACTTTGCATCTACACTTGCAGCTTGCAGTCCCTGGCCGCTGGCCACCCTGGCAGCCAGACTCCCTGCAGCTCGTTGCAAGCGTGCACACAATTCACTTGCAGTTGCAGACCTTGGCCGCCGGCCACCCTGGTAGTCAGCCGCCCCCTGCAGTTCGATGCATGCGTGCACCCCTGGCAGTGCAGCTACCCTGGCAGCCGCCGTCAGCAGCATGCCTCCACTCGCCGGCCTGGCCGCCGAGGTGCCGCGTGAGGCTTCGGCCCATTGGTTTTAGGTTAATTCGTCTTTGCGCGCCCCGCTCTGACTAGACGCGCCGTCGGCGCCTTCGCCTGCGGCCGCTGACTAAGAAGTACCCCTACCAGTCCGTAGCCCTCCGGCTGAAGCCGTCTGCGGGCAACCCCCGCTCTCGAGGGGGCGCCCGACGCACCGCCTAGCCGCCGCGGCCCCCCCGTGCCCGCCCGTGCCAGGTCACGTGCGATAGCGGGTTGCTGTCAGGCCTCGGCGCGCCTCCTGTCCATCTCGCCACCGCCCTACCCTAGAGCCGCTGGGGATGGAAGAGAACTCAGACGGCGATCGTGACGAAATCAAGGGAATTGTCACCAGGGCGGACTGTGACGGCATAGTGCAGGACCTGGGCGTTTTATCGTTGTCCGAAGAGCAACCAAACAATGGTCCCCAGGACGAAGTCGGCCAACGGGTACACATCTCGATCTATACATCGGGCAGGATCCAAGATCGGAGCGATGAGGGTCGACCAGTATCCGTTGGACCAGATCCTGTCGCTGGAGACGACGGCACACAGGGAAATATTGCCTCTGCTCATGGTACCCCAGCTCCTCTTCCGCCCACGAAGGATAGTCGCGTCGCAGGGAACGGCACCGATGTAGGCAAACACCGGGCAAACGGGAGCTGCGACCATATCGGCGAGGGCACGCCGACCGAGGATCAACCTGATCCCCCCGGACCGCGCCTTGTCGCTGGCAACGATGGTTCATTGGGAGAGATTGCCTCCCATCCCTCTCCTGCTCATCCCAAGGCTTCGACGGTTAGTCGCCCCCCCTCCCCTGATAGCATGCCAAGTGCGCCTGTCCACCCATCTTCCAATGCAGCAGCGGTTAGCTGCGCTCCCTGTCTCTCCCCCCCTGCCGCCTCGACTGCTGTCATCCTGAAAGCGACGGTTAGTCGCCCCACCGTTGAAGACTGCGCGCAGAAAGATCAGCCATTCCCTCAGCAACTCCCCACCGGCGCGGCACGCAACCGCCCCGCGGAGGACCGCGCGCCCCCCGTCGTTTCTCTACCCCCCCCCCCCCAAGGGCAGTCAGCCCACCACGAACAACCTACCAAGGTGACACCTGACAACCAGCCCTCTCCTCGCTCTCCCGCTGGCTGCCCCTCACCTACGCCCTCTCCGACTCCGACGCCCAATGAAGTTCGACGCTGCACGCGGGGCGACAACGACGCGCGACAGCCCGCTGCACCTGCCCTCGACGCTTCACATAGCCTTCCATTCCCAGCCCCCAACTGAGCAGAAGGTCGCCGCTGATATGCCAGTTGACCTGGGGCATGACTCGGATTTGGACATGGGAAACGATGGAGCACCAACTGCGCGGCCACCGCAATCCGCCCTCCAGGCGCGTCGCCCCGCCTCGCCCCCCCCCCCCCGCGCAGACATGGCGCGGATGGGGGCAGCCATGCTGGGCTCTCGCGCCCTGCTTCCGGCCCAGGAAGAAGCCACGATAGCTCTTCTCCCTCCCTTGCCCCCCCCCCCCCCTCTTCCACCGCGGCGACCCGCTCCGCCGCCGCGCCAGATTCGAAGCAACCTACGACTGCCAACACAACCTTCCGCCAGTTCTCTCCCCCCCTGCCGCCTCGATTGCTGTCATCCTGAAAGCGACGGTTAGTCGCCCCGCCGCCGTTGAGGACTGCGCGCAGAAAGATCAGCCATTCCCTCAGCAACTCCCCACCGGCGCGGCATGCAACCGCCCCGCGGAGGACCGCGCGCCCCCCGTTGTTTCTCTAACCCCCCCCCCCCAAAAGGCCGGTCAGCCCACCACGAACAACCTACCAAGGTGACACCTGACAACCAGCCCTCTCCTCGCTCCCCCGCTGGCTGCCCCTCACCTACACCCTCTCCGACTCCGACGCCCAATGAAGTTCGACGCTGCACGCGGGGCGACAACGACACGCGACAGCCCGCTGCACCTGCCCTCGACGCTTCACATAGCCTTCCACTCCCAGCCCCCAACTGAGCAGAAGGTCGCCACTGATATGCCAGTTGACCTGGAGCATGACTCGGATTTGGACATGGGAAACGATGGGGCACCAACTGCGCGGCCACCGCGATCCACCCCCCAGGCGCGTCGCCCCACCTCGCCCCCCCCCCCCCGCACACACACACACACACCCGCGCAGACATGGCGCGGATGGGGGCAGCCATGCTGGGCGCGCCCTGCTTCCGGCCCAGGAAGAAGCCGCGATAGCTCTTCTCCCTCCCTTGCCCCCCCCCCCCCCCCTCTTCCACCGCGCCGACCCACTCCGCCGCCGCGCCAGATTCGAAGCAACCTACGACTGCCAACACAACCTTCCGCCAGTACGTCAGCCACTGCAATGCTGGCACAACCGCCGGGGGATTTTCCCCCGCAGCGCAACCCCGCGTGGACTCAATGGGCAGGATCTCTCAAGCGAGCAGACGAGGTCCTTGCGTCGAAGACCTGATGCGCGGCCCGCGAGGGAGCTGGCCCCAACGCGCCGGCCAAGCGCCGGGGTCTTCAGAAGCCGCCGCGCGACTGCAATGGTTGGCCCACTTCGCTTGGAAGAGTCACCCAGAGGGGCGCCCCATCCTGGCGCAAGCTGGCGCAGTGGCTGAATGTCGCCAACGCGAGCTTCTCGCAGCCTGCGACGCTGAGTGCGACCACTGCCCCGGCATCTCCATGGGCATGAACTTCACTCGCCTTGCCTGGAAGCTAAACGAGGAAGACCCCGAAGGACAAATTGGGGGCGTCAGACCACGCTCAGCGCAGTTACTCGCCATGCGTCTTGCCACTGTGCGCCGCATCTGCAACAGCGATCAATGCCCATGCCTTGACAACGACGAAATCATTGACCTAGAGAGATGTGTCGCCAACAGAGAGTGCGCCAACATGTGCCGTGCATCGAAATGCTGCGGCAGCGGCAGCAGCGCAGCCGTTAATCAAGACCGAGGGGGCGATCGAGCGGGCCGCTCCGCTCGAGCGACCGCTCCCGGCCCCCCACTTAAGCCGCGCCCCCGGCGTGGCAGCGACGAGGCACCGCCGCCGGGCATGGTGCTGCAGCTACTGATCCATGAAAGGAGACAGGCCATCATCCATTTCCATCCGCACAACGAGCTCCGCGCCTGGGCCTGCCATCACCGCCCCCACGGTGGCCCCGCCAACGGGGTGTTATCCAGCGCCTTCGACAGCGCCATCAGCCGACGCTCAGAGAGCCAGCCAGCAACCGAAATGGCTCGTCGATGAGCGCGCCGTTCCAGCACCGGGCATCACCCCGTCGCTACAGGACTCCGACTACAGGCAAATCTGGCCCTGGGACGACAGTGCAACCTGTCCACAGCTCGGCAGACGTTTCCCGCTAAACGAAAAGTGCCCGTTTTGGTGTTCTTGGTGCCATGTCCGCTGCGCACGAGATTCTCACCCCCCTGGCTGTCAGGCGAACTCGACGGCGAGAGCCCTTCCTTCCTAACAATCGGTTCACTCACCAGCGATATCTTCCTCCCTCTTGCCCACGCAGCTCAACGGTTTGCCCCCTTCACCTGCCGCATCTACCAGGACCTCCACAACGCCGCAGA